TCCAATAATTTTAGGGTACACACTTCGACCAGCTTTAGCCACCAGCTGTTTGTTTGCTTGATATGAAGGGCACCCTATAGCTTTTTTTACACAAGGGCAGTATTATTCACGATGGGATGTCTACAAGAGAGACTTTTTGAGGTTGAAATAATTTGTACTGATTTGAGTTTTCCCGGACTCGATAAAGCATTTGATTGCTTGCTGAGCGGACACATTTGGGACGAATATCTTTAGAGTCCTGGTCGATATCATTTTAAATTGAAACAAAAGCTTATTTCTGGATAAGTTTTGTTAGACTGGGTTACTTGACGGTCCTTTGTCACAAATTCAAGAGGAAAATAGTATCATCCCTCAGCTGAAACGAAAAACAAAAGGACCTTTATGAAAACTGAGATAATCATTAGCTGACCGAAGACATATCACCATGACGGCCTAGGGCAACAACTCTTACCAGCAAGGGCCGGGCACTCTGACTAAACCAAAGGGCTCTCGCCTTCTGTTTTGATAAATATAAACCATATGTCGTAATATCTTTTTCATTTTTCCAAAGGAAATTCGAACAAAGCTCAAAATTTACATAATAGCTGTAGGATGAGGGTCTTCAACCGTCCCAAACAAGTCACCACAGCTCGACTTTATATCGTGGTTTTCCCCGCACATTTCAACTGACGCCACTCAAACTGCTATTGACGCGAATCTATTTTTTAGCCTATCAAGTATCAGAGGAAAAAAATTGGGACTAAAATGTGGGGCTAGCCTGAGCGTTACAGAATTGGATCGCGACGCCATGTTTCATGACGTCATGGCATAAAAACTTGCCTATGAGCGGGAATGTTAAATGCGAGTGAAGGCTATCGAAATTTACAACCAGGAATGTGCACTCAAAAGTTAATTTATTTCTCCGACGCGCAATTAATTTGAAGAGAAAATTAAGAATCTCTATTCGATAAATCGTCCTCAACGGCATTTAGTGACTGTTAATTTGTATGAGTCAGTTGGTATTTAATTTCGTTTTATCTTGAAGTTCAAATTCAGGTATAAACTATTAAAATTGGAATCACTCTCCCTCACCTGTTTCTTGCAACTGCGTCATCAAATTAATGATAACTGCTGGAGAGAAAAACAAACAAATCAATCACTCATACCTCATGAATAATATTCGAAAGGGTAGATATACATAATTCAAAGTTACAAAGCATTGGTAGCAAAATAAACACATAATAACGTTTTGCCACTTAACGTTTTGATGGTTTTTTTGGCTAAAGGATTGGACATCGGATTCAAATTTTTAGCAAAAACGTATGGAAAAAGACCTTTTCACTACTCCAGAGCATTGGTTGTGGAGCGAACTGGCAGAAAATTGTGTTTTAAATTCCCAAAAACAAAAGCAAAAACGTTTGTTACCGATTTCATGCCCGAACTCGTTTAGATAGATAGATAAGATAAGATAGATAAGATAAGATATGTTTATGTGTCTTCCATTTGACATCTTGTCGAATTAGGCTTAGCTATTGTGTTCCTGTGATCCTGTAGATCACTGCTAAAAGTCCCTGATCAGACTTTCGTAAAACAATAATTGTGGGTTACAATGACCTCTTCATCTCTAGAACCGCATCGAAACAATATCCTGATGGCTTATAATGTTGCATCGTATCTAAACTATCTTTTGTCATGAAAAGACGTTCGCTGAGTTCAACTTGTTTGCTATCAGAGAGCTGAATAAAATCTACCGGGCATGAATTTTCCCTGTTTGATATGATTGAACATTGCTGTATGTTCAAAGGTCGATCTATGTTTATTGCTCTATTCACTTTCTATCTATATTATTTTTCAAAGCATAAACTCAAAATATGTACTTACTCAGCGTGCAACTTATAGACAGGGTTGTGAACATTTTACCAAATTAAATTCTACTTATCCTCCTATTCATCTAGCTCAAGAGACGGATAATTCGCCTTTCTTGATCTCGATAACCTTTGAGTTAGTTG